CCACAGAGTCCCGCGCTCAGACGCCCCCGCGGGGTCAGATGGCTGCGGGCACCGCCTGCCCAGGGCCCAGTGGCTGTGGCGGCCTGGGATGCGGGCTCCTCACTGGCGCCTGGGGGCGAGCCCCTGCCTTGCCCGGGGGGATGAGCCACCAGCAGGGCCCGCTTGGGACTGGCCCCACCCCGCAGGCCTGGCCTGGAGAGTGTCAGAGGTCAAGGGTGGCTGCCCCTCACCCCCACCCACCCAAAGCGGCTCCCCAGCCAGTCGTCCCAACCCGACTCAAGCTGGCTCTTCCCCCACACCCCCGACGGGACTTGAATGAGAACTATCAGGGCAGTGGTGACTGGAGGGGCTTCCAGCTCGCCCCCCACCTCACTGGTCCTCCCGCCCCGGGGGGGCCTCCGGGCCGCCTGTTAGGCTGGTGACTCAGGCCCTGGAGCCTGGTCACACCCTCAGAGCTCTGCTCCTGGGGGATGGTGTCCAAGGGTGCGTCAGGCCTGCCGGGCCTCTGGAATTCTCCCTTTGGGGCCACAGCGTCCTGCCTGCTGGGTTGGCTGTGAGTCCCTGGAGCTTGCCCCGTGCCCTCCTACGACAGCCGCTGATGTTGGGGATGCCGGTGCCGAGGTCACATCCTCCCCCTAGGCCCCCAGACTGAGGCGGGTGCTCAGGAGCTGGACAGATTGTATTTCTGGTGAAGCCGGACTTGAGAGCAGAGCTTGGACCTGCGCCCCAGCCTGCACGAAGGTGGGCTGGGTCACAGGCCGGCCAGAGCGCCGTAGCCGGTCCTGGGGAGGGAGGCCCGTGAGTCTGTCCTCTCTGGGGAGGGATGACAAGGGAGGGAGAGGAAGCCAGTTTTCCCATTCACCTCAAGGAGGCAGAACTCCGATCACATGACTGCCGTGGGCTGAGCAGGGTTGCCCGGCTTCCTGCCCACCCCGAACCTCAGGATGTCCGAATCAGGGTGTGTGCTGAGGCTCTTCAGAGGAGATGGTCCTGGGCTGGGGTGGCCCTCGGTCCGATGGCTGATGTCCCCGTAAGAAGAGGAGGACATCAGACGCAGAGGGCGGGCGGCCGCGTGAAGCGGGCGGCAGAGTGGGGGTGACGCGGCCTCAGTCCTCGGAAGCCTGGGCCCGGGAGCTGGGGGAGCGGAGGACCCCCCCGCCGAGGCCACAGGGGCGTGCAGCACACCGTGATCTCGGACTTCTGAGCTCCAGGCCTGTCGGGGGACGCACCTCTGCCGTGGGAAGTCACCCCGTGTCTGGTTCTTGGCTGCGGCGGCCTTTGCTGTTGCTGCTGCTGGTCGCTCAGGCATGTCCGACTCTTTGCAGCCCCATGGCCTCCCTGTCCTTCACCGCCTCCCGGAGTTTGCTCGAGTTCTTGTCCACTGAATCAGGGATGCCATCCGACCAGCTCATCATGGCGGCCTTGGGAACGAATAAAGCGCCAGGCAGAAATGAGGACACGGTCGGCGGGGGGGCTGTTCTCTGTAAAACCTCAGGGCCCACGGCCTTGGCGTCACGCCCAACTCCTCCAGCCACAGGGACGCACACGTGTTGTGTGACCCTCAGTGGGCCTCTAGGTCTAGCGCTCCCTCCTGCCCCTCCGGAAACCTTGGCTTGCGGTGCGTCCCGTACGCAGGGTGGCTCTGCAGAGGGCCCGGGGCTGCTCAATGTAGCCTGAGGTCCCCCTCCTCAGGGACAGGGAATGGGGGCACCCCTTCCCCGAGCCGCCCCCCCTTCTGTGTGAGGTCCTCATTCACAGATCCACAGGGCCCGCCCAGCCTCAGAACTGCTTCCAACAATCTGTTCCACGAGACTGCTTTCCCCGTCAGGGGTGAGTCATAACACTGAGTCACAATCTGTATTAAAGCTATGATTCCTGATTCCAACTCACTTGGAAGTTTACTAATCCATCCTTAGAGTTGACTGAAGGTTTTTTCCACTGTAAGAATCTGACACCAAAGCCATCGTACTGGCATCTTGGAGGTGACTGATTTTGGTGGGAACAGGAAGAAGAAAAATTCAGGCAGAACACCGTCTGCCTGGAAGCGTTTCCTGGTCCTCGTCAGCTCTGGCCCCTGTCCTGAGCTAGTAGGAAGTGACAGGCCAGCCCTTGTGACCGAGTTAAGAATGAGAACGTTCAAGAACATTCTTTCGTCCCCACACTAATCAGCGCACATTCTTCCCAAGCCGTTTCACAGCGTGTTGGTAGACGAGTCTGACTCTTGTCCTCAACCGACAGCTAGGAAACACCCCCGTCACCCCTCAAGCTCTCCGGAAGATGTACAGTCACTGGGTGATTCAGAGCTTCGTCCTTTGGTATAGTTTTGAACGAGGAGGATTTTCTTTGCTTAAGTTTTGCAGATGAGCTGTTTGCTTCAAGTTCTGGTGTTAATTATCTCTCAGCCATTGAACTTTTGAAGACAGTTTCTTGACTGTTTTCTGCCGGGGTGTTCTCCGCTGTGCGGCTGTCCTGGGCCGTGGGGCGTGGAGCGGCATCGCTAGCCGCTACTCACTGCAGCAGAGACCTAGCCGGCCTGGCGAGACCTTGTCTGTTCGTTGGGAAGCCATCCTGCAGCTTGTCTACCCCTGGACCCCCTTTTGGGCCTTCCTGGTGGCTCAGTGGGAGAGAAGCCATCTGCTAATGCAGGAGATGCGGGTTCAGTTCCTGGGTCAGGAAGATCCCCTGGAGAAGGGCATGGTAACCCACTCCAGTAGTCTTGTCTGGGAGACCCCATGGACAGAGGAGCCTGGCGGGCTACAGTCCATGGGGTCGCAAAGAGTTGGACACGACTGAAGCAGCTGAGCAAGGACCCCTTTTGCCTGGAAGGGGCCAGCGCTGGGACACGTGGGCATCTTGCCAAAGCGACCTCTGAGCGCTCCGTAAGCTCACCAGGCTGGGGAGAGCTGCGGTAGACCCAGCCCTCCCGCTGCGCAGGTGGAGCTCCGTGAGAAGGCGCCCACCTCCACAGCACACCCGTGGCTCTGCCTTGACCACCCAGCAAGGCAGCCGTCCCCTGGCTCCACCCGTTGACTGTCCAGGGCTGTCTGCCGCCTGAGGCAGTTGGGCTCATCTTCTGCCATCGAGGGGAAGTGCTGTAGCTGGACAGGGCGGCCATGGGCCTGATGGGTCTCCATGCCTGTTTGCTTCCAGAATTCCTCGGAGACACCTTGCAGGGAAAACTGCAGCTTCTTGCAGGTGTGATCACAGCTGATGACTGACATTCGCATTTGAACCTTGAGCTCTTCCGAGAAGGACAAGAGTATATAAAACAACCAGCTACCTGGAGTCTAGATTGCTGGCCTCAGCTGGGACTCAGGTGTGTTTAGATCACATTGGCTGGTGAAGTGACTCCATCTCCTGGCAAAAATCTGCTTCATTTTGTACCCTGAAGTAATTTTCGGCAGAAATACGCCATCCCAGCCAAGTCCATTTTGATTTATGCATCTTGCCCTTGCCCACAAATGTTAGAAAAGCTTCCTAAGGAAATTAAATTTACAAAAGTGGCTGAACTTCTGGTCAAAAGTGACCTGTTATAGGGAATGTTAATTCTAAGTCAAACGGGGGCAACGGGTGCAGAACAAAAACCAGATCTTCTGGATGATTCGGGATCGCTTTCGTGACAGCATGTACATGAAACACTATCTCAAAGAAACACTCTGCACACTCTTGCTGCTTGTTAGATGCTAGTCTAAGGGTTTTTCTATTTTTAGAGATTAACTATGTCATCCAGTGGAAAAAGAAACCACACTCAGTAAATTCCACAGCTTTAAATATCCTATTTCCCAAAAGGATCACGTTAAGACCTTCCGACCTCCCTAATTCTGGTTTAAAATTTTCACAAGTGACTCTGTGTGACATTATCTGGCTCATATTTTTATGTCTTTATCTCCAGCGCTGTGATGTGCTCAGTTATGTCCGAGTCTCTGTGACCCCATGGACTCTGGCCCGCCAGGTCCTCTGTCCATGGGATTCTCCAGGCAAGAATACTGGAGTGGGTTGCCATTTCCTCCTCTAGGGGATCTTCCCGACCCCGGGATCGAAGCTGCATCTCCTGCGTCTCCTGCATGGGCAGTGGATTCCTTACCACCTGGCAAGCATGGATAGCCAGTAACTTGAACTAAATATCAGAAAGTGTGGGTGACAAAATAGATGGTGAGGGGACAGAAATATATGAAATCAACAACATTTAGACCAGGCTTTCTCAGATGAAATTTTGTAGGGAAACTGGTCGATTCTAGTCAAACAACTAGACATTTTAAAATAACCGATTAATAATTCATTCCATTTTCAAACTTGTTCAATACATTTTAACATTTAAAAAGGTTGGTTTGAATGATGTACACAAATGAATAAACACACCTCTGGGGAGACTGGAAACTCTCAGAGGAGCAGAAATCACGGGGTGAGGAGACTATCACTTAGAACCATAGCGGTAACCAGACCAATGGGTCAGCCTGCTGAGCTGCGGGCTCTTTACCGCCTCTCAAAGTATCGATCCATCCCCACAAAGTGCTAATCAGAGAAGGGAAAGAAGCCGGCAGAAACCCTCCAGGAGTCTTGCCTGGAGAATCCCGTGGACAGAGGAGCCTGGTGGGCTACAGTCCATGGGGTCACAGAGTTGGACACGACTGAGTAACATACATACACGTGTACAAGAGACACGCTCGGCCCCTGGCAAGTGGCCAGCCAGGTGCACCCAGCACATGGGTGAGTACATCACCGGGGCTGGAAAACCGTGGGGCCCTTCAATGTTCACCCGAAACCGTCACAACATTGTTAACTGTAAAACCATACAAAATAAAAGCTTTTTTTTTTTAAATTTCCATCATGGGTCAGAAAAGACTCGACAGCACTCGGCTGTTTCTGAAGCCGCTGAGAGCACAGGGACCCGCCACCCCGGGCTGCGCCTGCGGCGGTGGATCGGTTCTGTGCGTCCGGCCGGGCTGTGGTCCCGCCCCGGGCGCCCTGACCCGGCGCCGGGCTCAGCGAGGCGTCCGCTGGCACGGGGCTGCGACCGAGTTTCCTGCTCATCTGAACGCCTTGCAAACAGCAAACAGAAACTTCAAACTGAAACATGATAGGTTAGCTGTTTGTTTTTTTTTAATATTTTTTGTCCCATAAAATGGAAACCATCACATTTTATCTCTTTATTATAGACACACTCTCCTAATCTCCTATAAATATGCAACCTCAGTAGAAATCAAACATGAAACTCATGTTGAAGGAGAAATGTCCCCAAGATGCTCTGGATTCTGCATCAGAATGAGAGCGCCTGAGCCCAGCTCTTGTATCCAGTAAATTAAAACCAGAGACGCAGATGTTCGCCCAAGATCACATGAAGTGTGACGTAACGTCATTGATTTTAAAGCGCCCAGTTTACCTAAGAAATAAGACAGAGGACCACAAACGGGAGCCCGGACCACAGTGTGGGTGAGACAGGGCACCCGGGGGCACAGACCACTCCCTCCCGGTCGCCAGGTGTGCCCAGCTCTGGCGTCGGAGCTGGCACATAGGAGGTGCTCAGGAAAGATCCCCTAGGCTGTTAGCGATTAGACGCGAGAGGATGGCCCAGTCAGCACGTCACTGCTTTTCCTCATCTACATGCTGACTCTACAAAATGGGAAATCATACGTCTTGTCCACAGGAAAATGCCAATTTACGGCTACAATTGGTTATGAAATAGAAATATGAGCTGAGAAAATGCGGAGCTTGGCAAGATGAATCTGGAGCTCTTTGTGGGTATCTTCTGTCCTTGGCTGCTTAAAACATGTTTCTTTTTTTTTTCTTTTTTTTTTTGAGTTTCATTTATTTTTATTAGGTGGAGGCTAATTACTCTACAATATTGTAGTGGTTATTGCCATACACTGACATGAATCAGCCATGGATTTACATGTGTTCCCCATCCCGATCCCCCCTCCCACCTCCCTCTCTACCCGATCCCTCTGGGTCTTCCCAGTGCACCAGGCCCGAGCACTTGTCTCATGCATCCAACCTGGGCTGGTGATCTGTTTCACCCTAGATAATATACATGTTTCGATGCTGTTCTCTTGAAACATCCCACCCTCGCCTTCTCCCACAGTGTCCACAAGTCTGTTCTGTACATCTGTGTCTCTTTTTCTGTTTTGCATATAGGGTTATCGTTACCATCTTTCTAAATTCCATATATATGTGTTAGTATACTGTAATGGTCTTTATCTTTCTGGCTTACTTCGCTCTGTATAATGGGCTCCAGTTTCATCCATCTCATTAGAACTGATTCAAATGAATTCTTTTTAATGGCTGAGTAATATTCCATGGTGTATATGTACCACAGCTTCCTCATCCATTCGTCTGCTGATGGGCATCTAGGTTGCTTCCATGTCCTGGCTATTATAAACAGTGCTGCGATGAACATTGGGGTGCACGTGTCTCTTTCAGATCTGGTTTCCTCGGTGTGTATGCCCAGAAGTGGGATTGCTGGGTCATATGGCAGTTCTATTTCCAGTTTTAAAACATGTTTCTAAAGTCTGTAGCTCTCTCTCTCTGTTGGGAACAGAATCCAGGCCTCGAGATGCACAGCAGGTGGGGGCGGGAAGCTCACCTTCCAGACCAGTCACATTGGCGAAGGGCCCTCCCTGCCCGGGCACGAGCTTGTCTTCACTCCTGACATCTGCAGGGGTTTGGGGGTTGGGATGTGAGCCCATTCTTTCAGGGACTCTGCTGTTGCTTGTTCACTCATCTGTGTCTAACTCTTTGTGACTCTAAGGGCTGCAGCCCGCCAGGCTCCTCTGTCCACGGGCGTCTCCAGGCAAGAATGCTGCAGTGGTTGCCATTTCCTCCTCCAGGGGATCTTCCCAACCCAGGGATCGAACCCGAGTCTCCTGTGTCTCCGCATTGGCAGGCGGATTCTTTACCACTGAGCCCCTGGGAAGCCTTTTCGGGGTGCAGTTCAGCCCATCACATGCACCCCTGGGGCCCCTTTCCCCTCCCTCTGGTCGTGCAGGGACCCCAGCGCCTCCTGGCTCAGCGCAGCACTGCCCTCCTTCAGGACTCAGGGCCCACTCCTCTCCCGCCGCCTGGAAGCTGCCCCTCCTCACCTGCCAACTGTTGACTCAGGAGCTCCTCTCCTCCTCAGAAGCCCAGGAGGCTCCCCGGGGTATGGTCAGTCATCTGGTCTCCTTGGAGGATAAAAGATGCAGTGGTCCCGGTGAAGATTCTTCATTTTCCTTAAGGCATCTCCACCCACTTCCTCCTGTTTTGTGGAAACACGAGAGGTAAGTACTCCCTGGGGCCCAGGGGGGCGCCGGTGAGTGAACCCCACAGAGAGACCTGGCACTGACCACCCCGCAGGCCAAACACGACCGTCCGGGTTCTCCGAGAGTCATCACCACACACGGCTCCTTAGAGGTCCCTTCCCGTGAAGCCATGGAATATGGGAATAAGGCGGAAAACCAGGAAAAGGGGGAGTAAAATGCACTAGAACAAGAGGCGGGAAGGACTAGTGAAGAAGGATTAAAGCAGAGAGGAAGACAAAAACATCACAAAGAGACAGAATGGTGAAGGGGGTGGGGTTCATGAAGCAAATAATATAGGAATAGGCAGAGTTTATTAAAAATTCCGGCCAACCTTTCTTGTTAAAAGTAAACATAAACAATAAGCCAGTCACAAAAAGACAAATCTGGGTGACTCCACGTTTACGAGACCACGGAGTCGTCACACGGAGCAATTGATGCAGGTGCGGACGCTGGAATCGNATTCCGGCCAACCTTTCTTGTTAAAAGTAAACATAAACAATAAGCCAGTCACAAAAAGACAAATCTGGGTGACTCCACGTTTACGAGACCACGGAGTCGTCACACGGAGCAATTGATGCAGGTGCGGACGCTGGAATCGAGAAGGACGAGGTCTCCCCTCTCCGCTGACCGCGTGTCATGTCTAGTGTGGGAACCGAGGGGTTTGGACCACGCGCGCCCGGAGGGTTAAATGAGAGACCCAGATGTTCTGAGTCAAAGATGCAGCGCTTACAGCTCTGTCCACTCACCAGAGAGTGCTTTTACAGCCCAACCTCTTTCCCCCTCTTCTACTAAACTTCAATGCTGACTTGTAGCTCCTATGAGCAAAGGTGGTGTCAGAGCTCACAACCATTGATGCTCTCCTGTATTGATTCTACCTGCACTTACCACTGACGGCCAATAGGGGGTGTTAACCCACAGCTTTATTCCTATTCTGCTCAGTGATATCAATCAAGCAGCATAGCAATGTGTCAAATTTCAATGCATTTATTAAAACATAAATATTTAACTTCTTGAATCTCATAGGACTTTTATCACTCTCATTAACTTCCCTTATGTAGTCTTTAGTCTCAAAGCTAGTTCTTAATGTCTACAAATACACTTTAAAGGATATGGATGCATTTGAAAGTCAACATCTAAATGGAAACCGCTTACCCACAGAAAAGCTCAGAAACCCTCAATGTACCACCAGAAGCATTGTTTACAGGGGCGCTGCTGCATCTGTGTGGGCACCAGGACAAGATCCAGGGTGTTGCCTGGCGACCCCTCCTGCCCCCGCTGGCCACTGCTGAAGAGCCAGCGCTTTTCCAGCTGGCTTCATTGTAGCCGTCTCGCTGTTTGTGAACATGAAAAACTGTGCTATATTGTCTGTCCAAATTCTTCTCGATACTGTGTCCACGAGATTGTCCATATTTTGAGTGAAGCAGTGCTGCATGGTAGTATGCATGCAATACACATGTAGCATATGTGTAGCATGTGTGCACCACCCATGTAGTAATGCAACACAGGCAACATACATGTGGTGTGTATGCAACACACATGTACTCTGCACGCAACACATGTACTATATGTGCACCACATGTAGTATGTGCGGCACACGTGTGATACTCATGTGGTATATATGTACTGTGTATACAGCACACATGTGGCATATGTGTAGTATGCATGCAGCATGCATGTAGTATATAGAGAGGATGTAAGCAGCATGCTGTGGGTTCACAGATCATCACAGTATAACGTCTACAGTCTGAATATACTGCATTCATTTATCCCTCCTACTGCAAGCCAGCAAAAGGGCCGCTCCCAGCACTAGCTGTTGCGAGTGATGTGGTTGTGAACATTTCACACTTGTGTTTCGGTGCACACTTGTAGATATTTCTGAGAGCTGCATATTTAGGAGTAGAATTGCTGAACAGGTTTCCTGAGAAGTGGTATGAATTTACGCTCCCACCAGCTGCAATTTTTCTTGCTCCACAGCCTTATCAACGTTTGATATCACAACCTATTTTTCATGTGTGACTTGTTTTTACTCGATATACAGTTTTCCCACAGTTTTCCAAACAGTATAACTTTAGCTGGCTATGAGGAAAAGAGTAATGACGATTAGGAGCTGTGTAGCCGTGAGTGCACAGGAGTCCCGGGAGGCTCAGTGGTAAAGAATCCACCTGCCAATGCGGCACACACAGCTTCCACCCCTGGGCTGGGAAGATGCCCTGGAGAAGAAATGGAACCCACTCCAGTGTTTTGCCTGGAGAATCCCACGGACAGAGGAGCCTGGTGGGCTACAGTCCGTGGGGTCCCAAAGAGTCAGACACGACTTGGTGACTAAACAGCAACAATAACGGTTACAAGCTCTCGGAATTCTTACGCAGCGCACAGAATATTCTGATGGAGCTCTCAGGACCTTACTCAAGTTAGGGAGATGGGGGTGTTGTGGATATAGTCCTTTATGCCTACTCATTTTAAGCCCATGTTACATTTAAGTTGCTGCTGTGCTAACCCCCAGGCCCTAGCGCCATCAGCACTGGGGTGTACGGGGAGCATCTAACACCGGTGGGAGAGCTGGCCCTTCCTTGCACAAGGGGGCGTCACAAGCTCAGCCTTGTTCCCGTCACTCGTCGCCAGTCCAGAGGTGACGGTTGTGTTACAATGCCGACATCCCTTCAGTGCTGTTTGCAGCTGAAGTCAGGAGACAGTGGGCTGCAGGTGGCGTGCGTGTCCAGTGTGTATGAAGTGGGGCTGGTTCTGTCTTTTCTTTGGACCTGTGAACTGTGAACACACAGAGGAAAACACAAGCGTGGATGCTGGGTGTCCTGCCTGGGCCAGGTCACTCCACAAGCGTGGACAGGTTAGAGAAGCTTCCAGAATCATGACATTCACGCCTCTTAGCACAAACGAGTGACTTCAAAAGACAACATTTCTTCCGCGTTCCATCTTTCTTGGAGAATTCTGTAGTTCTCTGAGCAGAGGTCAGCACATCTGCCCAGTCTATCCAGGTGGCCCACCGCCTCCGGGTTACGGCCGCACCCCCCCTCCCACCTGCCGCTGTCCTGCCCGACCTCTCCGGCCAGGGGAGTGGACCCTGACAAAGGAGCTCAGCGGCACAGCCGACTCATCCGCGGCTGGGGCGGATTTTCTAGGATAAGCGGTTCCTCTTATGGGCCTCCGCGCGCGTCGTGTGTTTGCAGAACTCCCGGCTCAGGAGTCCGGAGGGGACCTCTGTCCACAGGGGCAGCGCTGCTGGTACCGCAGAAAGCAGTCTCTTAGGATCAGGTTGGGCTTCCCTCGGAGCTCAGTCGGTAAAGAATCTTCCTGCAATGCAGGAGACCCAGGTTCGACCCCTGGGTTGGGAAAATCCTCTGGAGAAGGGAATGGCAACCCACTCCAGTGTTCTTGCCTGGAGAATCCCGTGGACAGAGGAGCCTGGCGGGCTCCAGTCCGTGGGGTCACACGAGTTGGCCGCGACTTAGTGACTAAACCACCACCACAGGACCAGGTTGTGCCAGGTTCTACCTAAATGAGCTGATCAGACATAAAGCATGCTTTTTTGAACCAAAATAAGGTTTTTTTCCCCCTGTGTTTAGAAAGTCAGTTGTAATGAATTTTTTAATTGTAGTAAAATGTTGTTGTTGCTGTTTATGTCACTAAGGCATGTCCAACTTTTTGTGACACCATGGACCACAGCATGCAATAAAATATACAAGACGTAAAATTTGCCATTTTAACCATTTTAGGTGTACAGTTCAATGGCCCTAAATACATCCACACTGCTGGGTAACCGTCACCACCATCAGCTCCAGAACTGTTTCATCTTCCCAACCTGAAAATCTGCCCCCACTAAGCAGCAGCTGCTCCCAGCCCCCGCCCCCAGCAGGCAGCCACTATCTACTTATTTCTCTGCTAATGTGACTCTTCTTGTCGTTCAGTCACTAAGTCATGTCTGACTCTTTGCGGCCCCATGGACTGCAGGACACCAGGCCTCCCTGTCCCTTACTATCTCCTGAAATTTGCCCAAGTTTATGTTCATTGAATCAGTGATGCCATCCAACCACCTCATCCTCTGCCTTCCTCCTCTGAAAGTGAAAGTGAAGTCCCTCAGTCGTGGGGACTCTCTGCTACCCCGTGGACTGTAGCCCATCAGGCTCCTCTGTCCATGGGATTTTCCAGGCAAGAATACTGGAGTGGGTTGCCACTTCCAGGGGATCTTCCCAACCCAGGGATTGAACCCGGGTCTCCCACATTGCAGGCAGATGCTTTAACCTCTGCACCACCAGGGAAGCCTCCTCTAGAGACCGCATATTAGTGGATCAGACAGTATTTGTCCTTTTCTGTCTGGCCTGTTTCACTTAGCATCATGTCTTCCAGGTTCATCCACGTCAGTGCCTGTGTCAGAATATTCTTCCTCTTTATGGCTGAATAATATCCCTTTGTATAGATGGACTACATTTTGCTTATTCATTTAGCTGTTGATGGACACTGGAGTTGTTTCCATCTTTCGACTGTTGAGAATAGTGCTGCTGTGAACATGGGTAGACAAGTATCTGTCTGAGCTCGTTTTAGATTCTTTTGGGTCTATACGAAGAAGGCTTCCCAGGTGGCACTAGTTATAAAAAAGACCCGCCTACCAATGCAGGAGACTCAAGAGATGCAGGATTGATCCTGGGTCAGGAAGATTCCCCAGAAGAGGAAATGGCAGCCCACTCCAGTGTTCTTGCCTGGAAAATCCCGTGGACAGAGGAGCCTGGCGGGCTGTGGTCCATAGGGTCGCAAGTCAGACACGACTGAACAACTAAGCATGCATACCAAGAAGTGAAGCTGCTGTGGTGATGCTGTTTATTTCTGAGATGGCACCGCACTCTTCTCCGCAGTGGCTGCGCCACGTCCCGTCCCGCCTGAGGGCTTCTCACTGTGTTGCCAGGGCCTTTCTCTTCTTTGTCGGAAGGTTTTTCATGCTAAGTGTAGTTTGCTATTTATAAGGCTGTTCAGATGACTTCTCCTTGCGTAGGCTCGGTTGCTTTAGCCTTCCACGTCAGTCACCCACGTGACGAGTCTGCTGCGCAGAACTCATCGCGTTTCTCCCTGTGGACAAGGTCTCTCAGCACCTACCGGATAAGCTGGATGCTCGCAGTGCCCACCAGGGGGTCATCTTGGGCCCACGGATGTTCAGCCTCACCAGGGGCCTCGCGCAGAGGGGGGTGCATGCAGACACCCGGCGCCAAGAGCAGGATCAGCCACTGCACCCCAGGAGGAGTCCTCGCAGGGTCTGTAAAGCGGCTCGGGGACCCTGCCCCAGCCCCCAAGGCTCAGCCCAAGGCGGGACGAGGAGCAACACAGATCCTGCTTCCCACTGCTGGCTGGGAGCAGCCTTGGCGAGGGGTGGGGGGTTCTGCGGCGTTCTCACGAGCTCCTGGCCGCCCGCTTGGTGAGGAGAGGCCGCCCGCCCTGCACACGGACCGCAGCCACGGTCAGCGATGCTCCCAGCAGGGGAGGCGTGGAGGGGGACAGAACGCATCCCTCGGGGCCACACGGGGGACGGCAGGGAGCAGAAGGAACCGGGGCTGAGAGCTGCAGATGCTGCAGTAACGTGAGGCTGGGGGCCCCGGGGCGCACGATCTGGCCGGCAGGGAGGCGGAGGACGGGGCGGTGGGGGACTGGCTCCAGCCGCTGGGGCCCTTCCCTGGGGATGAGGGGCCGGGGGCAGAGCTGCTGAGGCCGGGGGCTGCACAGTCAGGCCTCTGGGGCCCCATGAGGCTCAGAGACCCCGAGGCAGCTCGCGGAACTTCAAGTCTCACGCGCAGGGCGCTGACGAGCCCGGCTGGAGGTGGCCCCACCCCGGGGCCCCGACACTCACAGGCCTCCCCGTCCAGAGGCAGGGTGGTCATTCCCGCCACCAGCAAAGGTACCTGGGAACACAGGGGACACCCGGTACCGCTTTTGGGGGGCACAGCTGGGAAGCGAACCCAAGGTTTCCAGGGTCAGGGAGAAACACAGACACACACGCTGACCTGCGTCTCAGGGTGGCGACGGGAAATGTTTACATGCAGACTCGCGGATGAATTGAAAAGTGAGACAGCTCTCCATCTCCATCATTTCCAGAGTTACTTTTTATACGTGATACTCAGTTATAAAACCTGGGGTGCTGCACTGTTTTTATCAATTGTGAATGGAAAAGAAATTACAATGATACAACCTAGAGTAAATGTTTTTGACACCTACGGCTTTTGGATCACATTAAAAATATGTATTTCTGTTGTATATGTATTTTGTAGGCAGAGAAGTATGCTTGAGTGATTAGTAAAAGTCTCTCTAACATAACAGGACATCACATTAAATTTAAAAGTAAGTCACATCAGACAAAGCGCACTACCAGCAAGCATTCCACGTTGTTGTATGGCCTTCCTGTTTCCCTTGTTTTGGGATATTTTATCCAGGCGTTTGGACCCGCTTCTTTTTTGTTTGTTTTTAGGACTGCATAGAATTAATTGCTTCTAATCTTTTGTTATTATAAATAATGCTGTACTAGCCAACCTCTTACCTATGTTATCTCACAGTTGAAGGTTAAATTTAAATTCCTAGAAGTGGAATTACTGATTTAAAGAGTAAGTCCTTTTGTAATTGTGAAAGATGTGGCCATATTACATTTGTCAGATGTTGTGTCAATATATACTCCGCTTTCTGTGGAGAAAGTATATTAAAAATACAATTTTAAGGGAAAGAAGCAAAATGTAAATTTAGACCTTTGAAGAAGAACTTAGTGCATTTTAAAATGGATAATGGCGGGTGTGAAATTTTTATGGTTAGAGATGCCATTGAATACCAAGGAGGGACCTGATTTTATTGTTAAGCCAATGTTTGTAATTGACTGAACGTTACATTCTTAACTATTTTAACTTGCAAATAAAACTTTTAGAATCAACTTAAAAATCTGCAAGGCTACAATGGTTTTTCCATGAGTAAAAATGTATGAAAACCACCGCTCTAAGCCCCAGCTTATACCTGGTTTGGTGGCTGGGTTTTGAGGTCTGACAGAGCCGATACCAACACTTCAGCCATCCACTACTGCCCTGACCTGAGCCCCCAGAGCAGCCCCCCGAGGGGCTCCCAGCCCTGGGTGGCTGTGCTGCACCTGTGCCGCCCGCATCTGTTCTTTTATGACAGTAAACATTAGCTTGAGGATAGAACAATAAAATTATTAAGTTGTAAGATAGACAGGCACATGGAGAATAATTGTAAGGTGTCTGTGAGAATGAATTTCAAGTCTTATCTGTCAGTCTGGGTTTTGGACACCTGTGTGTGTTAGTCGTTCAGTTGTGTCTGACTCTTTGCGACCCCATGGACTGTAGCCTGCCAGGTACCTCTGTCCATGGGATTCTCCAGGCAAGAATACTGGAGTGGGTTGCCATGTCCTTCTCCAATATCTGGGTTACTATAATATTCTTTATGGAAAACAGGTAGATGCATCTTAGCTTTGCTATATGCTCATGATGAAAACTGTCCACATAACTTGAGATTTCCTACATTGCACTGAGCTGACCAGTAGGTCAGTCCAATACTCTTACCCATCCTATCAGCTTGTTCAAAAGCTTCGCTCACTGCCTCGTGAGGAATAAGGTAAGATGCCGCTATGACTGCAAACAGCTTTTCCTGCGCCTAGGTCTGTGTTGAAACCTGCCCCCTGGTCTCTTTCCCTGAGACCCTCCTCCCCACCAGCCACCCCACCAGCCAGCCACCCTGCCCTCGGACGTCACCCACCTGGAGGTGGGAGGTGGAGACAGTGGCCACATAGGTTCTGAGCTGCCTGGGACAGGCGTGACGACCGTAGTTAGCGACAGACAGTGGGTGCACGCCCCTCACCACCACGGCCAGGGCTGAACTCTTCCCGGGAGAGACAGGAGGACCGGGCACGTTCTCAGCCCTGGGTGGGGCAGAGCTGTCTTGCCAGCAGGCGGCCACTTACCTGTGGAGACACTGAGGCCTGGGCCGGAACGTTCAGGACCAAGAAGCAGACCTTGGCCCTGGGCAGGAAGCGGGGCTCTGGACTCTCAGAATGCCAGCTTGTTCCCTGGGTTAGAGGGTGACTTGTGAGTGCACAGACCAGCGCTCAGGTCTCCTGCCGGCAGGAGTACACTCTCAGGAGGACGCCTCTCTCCCTTTGGACCCCCTGCTCCCCTATCCCTGGCCACGCCCCCCTCTGTGGTCCCAGCACACCCTGCTGTCCCGTCCCTGGCCACGCCCCCCTCTGTGGTCCCAGCGCCCCCTGCTGTCCCTTCCCTGGCCACACCCCCCTCTGTGGTCCCAGCGCCCCCTGCGGTCCCGTCCCTGGCCACGCCCCACTCTGTGGACCTCAGCAGCTTCCCACTCCCGGCCCCCGCCCCAGCTTCACGCTGTGCTGTCAGAACGTTCTTTTTCACAGGAGAGTGTCTGCAGTGTATTAATAAGAGGGCTTCAGCAGGATGAAAACAGAAGCGCTCTTGCTCTTCCTGTCTGGCCCTGTCCCCGCGGGCAGCCCAGGAACGCACTGCAGGAGCTCGGGGGCAGAGGGCACCCCTTTTCTGGTCCTTGGCAGATGTTAACCAAGAATCACATTTTTTTGGTATAGAAACTTCCCCGGCCACTGTAATGTGAAGGCTTCCACGTCTCATTCAGATGGAAGCTGCCCTCCTCCCCAGCCTAGTCCTGATCTTGAGCCAGACGTGGAGTGGGTGGGGGTGCCAGGCTTCCAGCAAACTCCCGCCTGGGGCTCCTCTCCGCCCCCCCCCACTCGCAGTGGGCTTGGAGTCTCCTGCCAATGGGGTTGCCTGGGTGGCCCTTCATGGCCCTTGGGGGGCTCCCGCCTGCAGGCCCCAGGCGTGCTCCTGAGCCTGCCCCTGCACCCTGAGACTGGGCCTTTGTCATCCCCTCACTCCCCCTGAGTCTGCCGCAAGGGTGCCCTTTCAGAGGCGCCGAGTCTGGACACAGGGTTCCCGCTGGCCTGTCCCACCACTCAGGGGTGTCAGCTGTGCTGCTTGCTGTCCCCCCAAGCTGGGGAGCGGGCAAAACTCTGCGTCTCTTGGGTCGAGGACCCCCTCCGGTTCCCACCAGGCAGCAGTCACAGTGGCCACGCTCTGGTCTTACTCCTCACCCACTTCCTCCCCACCCATCACGTGCCCGCCTTGTTGATCTCACAGCCAGCTCACTTGCCAAGCTCTTTCCCAACGATGTGCACGTCTTCCTGATCGCAAGTTGGTAGATGCTGCTGCTATGAGAGCGCACGTGCGTGACTCCCCCTCACTGGACACATCACCCTTTACTCCGAGGCCAGCTCCACCATCCCCCACACCCATGTGTGACTGCAGCGTCCCTGCCCAGCCTGTGTCCTTGGCCGGTCCCTCTGCCCTGCCGTCCTTCCTGGCTCTGTGACTGATCCCTTTTCTGCCCAACAGTTCCAGCCGCGCTTTCTCAGCTCTTCTATGAGCCCACATGCTGCTCCACCCCTTCGTCTCTGCTCAGGGTCCTTGAGCTCAGAGGGCCTCCTCCACCAGACATGGTTCTATGGGGACAGAGACATTTCATGCCAGGCTCATCTGCTCATGTCCAGGCAGCATCAAAATGAAATTTAGTATCTGGACAAGCACGAAGGCCTTGTTTCCTAAGGGACTTCTCTATTTCCGATTTTCAATAATTTGTGGCTTCTAAAAATTGGGTTCCAATTGATCAAACCCATTATCCGTTTAATATATTTTTTCTGGAGTTAAGTCAAAAGGATAGAAAATGGGGGCAATTAAAAACGCTTCCTTCTGGAAACAGATTCTACGTCTAAATGGACGAAGCCATTTCTAAAGCAAAAGGAGCTCGCGTGAGCGGCACTTCGCTGCCCCCGTGTGACATACGACAGCGGTTACTGAGTAAGTCTGAGCAAGCTCTGGGGGCTGGCGATGGGCAGGGAAGCCTGGCGTGCTGCAGTCCACGAGGTTGCGAAGAGTTGGGACACAACTGAGCTGAACTCATGTCAACAAATATTTATTTGTCAGCGTTTGCTGCTGTTCTGTTTCAAAAAGTACCCCAACAGAGAGATATTTTTAGGTTTTGCAGGAAATACAGGTAAAATATCAATGGGTATTTTAAAATAAAAATCAAAGCACTGCCTGTGTTTAGGGCCAATGTTTATGTCAGGCTTTACGACAGATCTGTGGAATTAAAAGACACTTGCTCCTTGGAAGAAAAGCTATTACAAACCTAGATAGCGTAATAAAAAGCAGAGACATCACTTTGCCAACAAAGTCCACATAGTCAAAGCGCTGGTTTTTGCAGCAGTCATGTAGGGATGTGAGGGCTGGACTATAAAGAAAGCTGAGTGCCAAAGAATTGATGCTTTTGAACTGTGGTGTTGGAGAAGACTCTTGAGAGTCCCTTGGACTGCAAGGAGATCCAACCAGTCCATTTTAAAGGAGATCGGTCCTGGGTGTTCATTGGAAGGACTGATGCTGAAGCTGAAACTCCAATATTTTGGCCACCTGATGTGAAGAGCCGACCCATTAGAAAAGACCCTGATGCTGGGAAAGATTAAGGGCAGGAGGAGAAGGGGACAACAGAGGAGGAGATGGTTGGATGGCATCACCGACTCGATGGACATGAATCTGAGTAAGCTCTGGGAGATAGAGCAGGACAGGGAAGCCTGGCGTGCTGCAGTCCATGGGTCATGAGGAGTCGGACATGACTGGGCAACTGAACAACAGCAAGGGCAGACCCACAGAACCCCGGCACACAGTGGTTCACTCCTGTCTGGGGTTTTGTACGTATTTTTTATATTTATGTAACTTCCAGGCAGAGGCATTGAGAATGACACTCAGTGCTGTCCCCAGAGTAAACTGCCCGGGAGGGGATACACGTGTGAAACACTCCACTTCCTAAAATGCTTGTCTACTGCAGCCTCATCACGGATCACACAAACACAAACGATCGGACACTTTCATCCTAGCGCCTGCTGCTCTTGTTTAAGGAGGTCCGCTCAGCCACCACAGGCGTGAGGCGTGTGTGTTCTGCTCGCATCTGCTCTCTATCCCGCACGGCCGTGACCTGAGGCCCGTGGAGACACTCTGCCTCCCAGGAGGGTTTTCTGTTTCCATCAGCGCTCAAAGGGCTTCTTAACCCTCAGACCTTGAAGAGCCTCGTGAAGAGCCCGAGAACCTCGGATTCGTGCTCCCTACAGAGGTCAGAAAAGTGTGGGAGGCGTTCAGCCCCGGCGAGGATCCGGTACCAGCCAGGGGGTTAACTCTGCCCAACAGGGACCGGGCTTCGGGTCCACAAGCCAGGGATGGAGACTCAGCGCGGGGGCCTGGGGGAGGGGCCGGGGCAGGAGCGAGCCCACAGGACGACGGGCTGAGGGGGTCGAGGTGGCGGGGGATCACTGCAGGCTGGGGAGGGCTGGGAAGGGCGGGCAGGACCGAGGACGAGTTAGCGGAGGATAGGAGGGGGCCGGGGGCGGTGGAAGGGGACAGAAGGGTGGAGAGGCCAGCAGAGCCCCCTCCAGGGGGGAGGCTCGAGCTCGGTGTGAAGAACAGACTGCACTTCTGAGCAGGCACACCGTGGGTTCCAGCGGTTGCGGGCGGAAGGGAGCGGGGGCTCGGGGTGAAGCGGCTGCACGGGGCAGGAACACCGAGGGCGGTGATAAACGAGACAAGAGGGCCGCCCAGTCCCCACACACCTCCTGAAGCCTGCTTTGGCCTCTCTGCTTGGGCCACTAAATGACGGAGTCATCACTTTGCTCCATCAAGTGCTCAGGCGCNGAAGGGAGCGGGGGCTCGGGGTGAAGCGGCTGCACGGGGCAGGAACACCGAGGGCGGTGATAAACGAGACAAGAGGGCCGCCCAGTCCCCACACACCTCCTGAAGCCTGCTTTGGCCTCTCTGCTTGGGCCACTAAATGACGGAGTCATCACTTTGCTCCATCAAGTGCTCAGGCGCTCAGTCCTGTCTGCATCTTTTTGACTCCACAGACTGTAGCCTGCCAGGCTCCCCGTCCATGGGATTTCCCAGGCAAGAATACTGGAGTGGATTGCCATTTCTTTCTCCATTTAACCACCGTAAAGCCCCTCAATTGTGGGATTATATTTCCTACCAAAATATACGTTCTTTCCTAAAAGTATAAACGTGAGACAAAAACAGGCTTAAAGGAGTTTTAAGTACAACACAAAAACGACTTCCTGAAGCTAAAAGAAAAATATAAGTGCTGAATGGGAGGAGAACACCCGTGATATTGGGCTGGCATATAAAATGGAGGCCGTACCTCAGAGCACAGAGTAAAAATACAGAGATAGAAATCACGAGGGAAAAACAGCAACATTGAGAATCATAAAGAAGAGCCAACAGGAAAATAAAAGGGGTTCCAGTGTGTTAAAAAAAAAAGAGGAGAAGGAGTGGTATTAAATATAAGTGACTGAAGCACATTTCCCCAAACTGCAGAGAGATGGGAGTCACCAGTTTGAAAAGGCCATCAAGTTCCAGACAGCAATGAGGGTAAACACATGCACATACATGTGCACACACACAGATCAGGCTGTGATAAAATCCTGATCTTTAACAATAAAGAGGAAAATCCGACCAGTCTCCAGACCAAAGATCAAGTCACCTACACAGAGTAAGAGGAACAGCCTCGCATAGAACCGCTGTCTGCAACAGCCGAAGCTGTAAGAGGATGGAAGAGCTTCCCGCCAGGGGCGGGGTGAGCAGAGGGCTGGTCTGCGTAAGTCTCCGCCCAGCCAAGACACTGCACTGTGTCGGGGACACGGACGCTTACACAAACATGGATCAGTAACACAGTCCATCACTCACGTGCCCCACTAGAGGTGAATATCTGAGACACGAGACCAACAACACCCACACTTCAGGAGGCATGAAGACAGGGGCAAAGTGGTGGTGAGCAGTGACACAGAGGCACACGCACCCACGTGTGTGTGATACAAGGGCTCGATGAAGACCCTTGGGAAACAAGGTATACTACAAGTCAAATCCTAATGTCATGTCTGACTCTTCCGCGACCCAGTGTCTTTTGGGCCATTGCCCGCCAGGCTCCTCTGTCCATGGGATTCTCCAGGCAGGAATACTGGAGTGGGTTGCCGTTTCCTCCTCCAGGGGCTCTTCCTGACCCAGGATGGAACCTGCGTCTCTTGAGTCTCCTGAATTGGCAGGAGGGTCTTTTATCTTTAGGGCCCTCTGGGA